GCTGTCTACTGCCGGGTACCCATTCCCACCTGGGTGAAGTGAGGAAAATTTGTGTAAAGTGCCTTTCCCAAGGACACAATGTCGGGTCCCTGACGGGATTCGAACCCACGACCTTAAGGTTGCGAGTCCGAGAGCCTACATTGTTTGCATGTTGAGAGGTGTTTGATACAGGAACGTGCTGTCTACTTTCATGCTTTATTGGGAGAATAGAATCTGACTCTGAAGGATTATGAATTAAAGATAAGTTGTCAGCCACTACCAGGGGCTTGTTACTAACTAAAAGTGATGCAGAGCTTCTCCTTTTCAAACTGCTTGACCCAGATCGCAACATCTGGAGTCAAAGTGGGGATTCACAGCGGGGTTTGCAGCCATGTCTTACAGGAACAGGACACAGCCCAGCTGTGATTGTTGAGACGTGTGAAAGACATGAGGGCAGTACCTTACTTCTGTTGGTTAATCTAGAAAGGAAGGGTTTCCCTCTCATGTTGGGAGTACTTTGCCCAGTTCATGCCAGCACAGGAAGAGAACACAACTTAAGGGTAAATTTCTTTAAAACTTGTATTTCTGATCAGAGGATAAAAGAGACAGAGTGCTTCTTCTTCTTCTTGAACTGCTTTAAAGTTTCACATGCCTCTTTCATACATTAGTGATATCTCTTGTCAAGAATAACTGAAAGTAACAGTTGCAACTAAAACAGAAATAGGAGCAAAAAAAAGAGAAAGTGCCCATCATCAATCCAGACATATTGCAGGAGGAGGAGGATGATGAGGAGGAGGGTGATAAGGAGGAAGAGGAGGAGGAGGAGGAGGAGGAGGAAGAGTAGGAAGAGGAGGAGAATAAGAACAGCGACAGCACCAACATGTAAGCCGCAGTTACCACTGAGTGCTGCAAGTCAGAGAAGGTGGAGTGGTGGAAAAGTCCCATCTTCTGGGCCACGATGCTGTCCAGGACGTGGGAGCGGGCGTTGTTCCACTGGATGAGGCGGGTCACTGTCTTCTCCACCTGGCTGGATAGGTCAGATGACCAGTTGTAGAGCAGCAGGGTCATCTGGGGAGGTCAACCACAAGCACACACCATTAGGGTTTTTGGTTTTTGTGCTACGTCACTTGCAATATAATTAGGTCAGGTAAGTGCCTATGACTAGAGGTTTTACAAGAGAGTATTAGCTGTATTACCTGTCCTGGGCAACAACGTCATTGCACACCGGACAGGTCCATAAGTGCTCAGTTCCCCCCAGCACCAAAGCCCGCAGGGTATCCATACTGTTCCGGTGGCTGTCTGATTATGGCGACATCTTTCCTTTCCAGATAATCATTCCTTTCTTCCTTCTCCCCTCTCTATCCCCATTTCCCGCATCCTAATGATTGCGTGGTACAAGAGAGTAACATACACAAAAAAAGAGGAGAGATAAGGATGACGGAAAGTTGATAGTAAAGAAGGAGCGAACCACACCAGAGCACCCACCAACTACAGGCCATTAGGGTATGGTGGGTGGGCTGATGATAGGGACTGTGGGAGGAGTGGTGGAAGGAGAGAGGGGACAATGTGGTTGGAGTGACGGGAGGAGTGAGGAGAAGAGCTGTGGGAGGAGAGATGAGAGGAGAAGTGGGAGGAGACACGAGAGCAGTAGAAGTGGGGAGAGAAGAGGTGAGAGAAGAGGTAAGAGGAGTAGTGGGAAGAGTGGTTGTAAGACAGATGGGAGGAGAGGTAGGAGTGGTGAGAGAAGCAGTTGTAAGAGAGGAGAGAGGAGAGGTAAGAGGAGAGATGAGAGGGGAGTAAGGAGAAGTGGTGAGAGGAGTGGTTGTAAGAAAGATGAGAGGTGTGGATGTAAGAGAGGTGAGAGGGGAGGTAGGAGGTGTGGTGAGAGGAGTGTTTGTAAGAGAGACGAGAAGGGAGGTGGGAGGACACAACAAAACTGAATCCTTACCTCTTTCCCTTCGCACACTATGATCAGCAATTTCTGTCTGGGAACAAAATCTTTTTCTGCCGACCTGGGCCTGGAGAGCTCAGAGGACTTGGGATCTCCTTCTGGGGGAACCTGGGGCAAGTACTTCTGAGTGCCTCGGTACGCTGAAACACATCACAGGGATCTTACAATGAATAAACTGAACTCAAGCCAGACATAGGGAAAGGCATGAAACAAATCATAGAGATTCAATAAAACTAACCACAGCTCAAGACAGACGTAGGAAAAGATATGAAACACAACACATGGATTTACTATGACTATCCACAGCTCAAGAGACATAGGACAAGAAAGAAATAAATCTTGATGACGAACTTCTTCTCAAAGCCCACACACAAGCAGTATGACCATTCATAAGAGAATCTTCAAAACATAACATCATTTTGTCTCGGACACTACTACTAATTTTATCGTCCCTCTTTCACATACAGTAGAAGGTTCATACCTCTGAGAAAAAAGATGAATGATGAGAATGAGAGCTATGAGAAGGAAAAGAAAGCTGAACACTGTTAACATTGGAAAAAAACCAAGATACTATTTTGAAAAATATGAAGTTACGTGTCCATCTGAACGTGTACATCTGAGTACATGGAGTGAAGCATGACGGTTAGCCAAAAAAATCGCCCCCCCCCCCCCAACCCCCCAGCAAAGTTTATTCGAGTTCTCCGTCATCTGGTCTCTTAGGATTCAGGATGTCACTTCTTTTCTTTAAAATTGTTTCTCTTACTTAAGCTCCCATATCAGTAGAACAACATCTGAAATGTCCATCAGATTAAATTAGCTTTTGACATATTAACAGATTAGCACTGTCAAACTGATCACATGGAAGTTACCCCCATTTACAGGCCAAAGGGCTACAACTCAGATGGCGGCTGGATCGGAAAAGTAAAGTAAGTAAAGTAGATGTTACCCCTGAGGACACTGGCAGGGAAGACAGGCACGTTGTCCGCGTGGTCCTGTACGGTCAGCTGCCACTGGTCAACGTTTCTGCCCACGGCCATGAGAGACAGATGACCTCCGGCAGATGTGACATTCTCAAGCATTCGGGACATTTGAACATCCTAAAGGTAACAGAGAATACTATTTTAGAATAACAATATCTTATTTTTTATGCCTCAGATTTACATCATCCTGCCAGTTATCGTGATAACAATAATAATGATAAAAAAATAATAACAATAATGATAACAGTATAAAATTAAAATTAATAGTAATAATAACAGTACTAGCAATAATAATGATGATCATAAGATTTATGAGAGTAATAATACTAATAATGACAAATATAACAATAATGATAATACGAATATTAGTACTAATGTGACTACAACTGCTACTTTCACTACTACTAACAATGATTATCATAGATTACATTTATCTTGCATAAATCACAGCTCTCCATGCACTTTAAGATATATCATTACCCCAACAGACCCTGTAGCACTCTGAAACATTCTGAGCTTCCTGGAAAGTATCCTAAATCATTTATTTCCCTCTGGAATTCCTCCACTGACCTTCGGAGAGGATTTACAGGGAGTGTACGGGACACCGTAAGGAGGCTGCATCGAAGATGCGCTGTCCACGACCTTAAAGGTCCTCAAGGTCGTGTCGTTGGAGATGGTGGGAACAGACTGGAGCAGCTCTTTCACGACAAAGTCCACTGAAAACTTGGATTGGAACTGGAACTTTGTCTTGGACACAGAAGGCACACCTGGAAAGGAGAACATCGCTGGCTGGTTTTCAAAACTGGGGCTTTTGTGAGGGGGCCACTTTTCTTTATAACATTGAACGTCACAGCTCAGTAAGGACAAATAAAGGAGAAAAACATTTTGGAGACAGTGCAGATGCTAGAGAAGATTTTAAATCTTGAATTGAAACACATGAGTTGAAGAACTGATTTTCACAAAGAGAGAGGGAGAAAGAGGGAGACAGGAGACAGGGGGAGAGACGGTGAGAGAGAGGGAGAGAGAGGGAAAGAGAGAGAGAGAGGGGGGGGGGGAGGGAGGGAGATGGGAGACAGGGTGAGAGAGAGAGAAAGAGAGAGATAGAGCGAGAAAAAGAGAGAGAGAGACAATGAGATAGAGAAAGAGAGAGAAACTGAGAGAGACAGAGAGAGAGAGAGAGAGAGAGAGAGAGAGAGAGAGAGAGAGAGAGAGAGAGAGAGAGAGAGAGAGAGAGAGAGAGAGAGAGAGAGAGAGAGAGAGACCCACCAATGGTATGGCAAAATGTAATCCATGGCTCGATGAGAGAGCAGAACACTGGGTGCAGGCTCCCCTTCTCTCCACTCTCGTACTTGGAGATGGTCTGCTGGATCAGTCGAGCCTCCGATACACTGCTGCTTTCCCTCGGCCCCGCCACTTTGCTGCCTGTGCTCATGATAGGCGTGCGTGGGAGGGAGATGTGGTCATTGGCTGAGAGAGGGGCCGTAGAAAAGTCCAGGCACTGTAGAGGAGAAAGGTTTCACGGAATCAGCCTCAAATGCTAGCAGCTGGAAAAATAAACATTTCAGATATTATGGAAGAAAGGCGGGAAAACACTAATGTCCTATCTGACCAAAGAATAAACAAATAAAAGTCACAAACATCACACGGTAAACAGACAGAGCTGCAAGCTGAGATCTCTAAAAATATACACAAAAATCACTTATAATCTGGTCTGCAATCTGTGTGTGTTTGTTTTTGTTTTTGTAAAGTGTTTTACGGCGCTTGCAACTGCATAAGGTCACATGAGTGTGCGGGACACATCTAATATTTTCAGTTGGTAGGAAATTTTGAATTTTGCCCGGGTGGCGGCCGAAGCCTACTCTTATCGATTTTAGACCACCAAGGGATCTTTAACGTGCGCAACTTGCACACGGGCCCTCCGAGATTTTTTGCCCTTGTCTGAGAAGGCTAGGCGTAGATCTTTCCTACCAGAAGATCAGGGGTGTGGCAGAAAGACAGCAGTAAGGAGGAGCCAAGGAGTAGCAGTAGAAAGGCTGCAGAAAGAGTAGGGAGCCTAGAGGAGAGGGCAAAAGAGGTGAGGGGGTGGGGGCAGAGAGTGGAAATGAAAGCAGACAACAGAACATTGCTAGAGAGCAGGAAAGGAGGTGAAAGGAGACAATTTTAGAGAAGAAAATTTTTCGGTCGCTACCCGGATTCGAACACGGGACCTTTGAATGAGAGGCCAACACCTTAACCTCTAGGCCACGAGAGCCCCCTGTGTGTGTGTGTGTGTGTGTGTGTGTGTGTGGGGGGGGGGAGTAAAAGAAAGACAGCATAGAAGGAAAGCCAACTACAATTTTCCTCCGTCCACCTGCAACATCAAATATATCCTTTCTATCAGAACCACGTGCACAAAAGAACAATAGCAACAGTCAAACAAAAAAAAGAAGCTGTGATCCTACAAGCTTTTAAAATTGCTATCCTCACTGTGTAGTTTCCCTTACCTTTCCTGTTGCCTCGCTGGAGATGGCGCCAGAGGCCTTGAGGTCCACGAAGGAGGACAGCATGGAGACAGAGGAAGTCACGCTGTGGGGCGGGTCCACGGACAGCTTGCGGGTCAGCATGTTGTGACGACGCTCCATATTCTCAGCTGGGGGAGAGTGATTGTACATGTTTAACATCCCGAACAATACATTTACGATCAGTGTAGGAATTTTTGTTTGTTGAATCAAAAAAACCAAAACAATGTTAGGGAGCATAAATAATAATAATAATAATAATAAATAGCATTTACAAAGTGCATATCCCCGCTCAATACCAAGCTCTATGCGCTTCACACTATATTACTACCCAAGTAGAACATAGAACATTCCGAACATTCTCAGCTTCCCAGGAAACATACAGTGCAAGCAGCTGATTAAGTGCTCAAACATTAACATACTGACAAGATCTTTCCCTGCCTGTATCTGAGTACCCATTCCCAACTGTAAAGTGTCTTTCCCTAGGAGGGCCCCTGACAGGGTTCGAACCCACGACCATACTGTTGAGAGAGAATCTGAGAGCCTTACAACTAGTGACGGGCGGCTAGGATCCCGATTATTGAAGGCTAGAAGTCGTAGGAATCGACTCCGAACCCAATTACTTTCTTTCTAATGATGTGGTTTCTTCCGGTGGTTACCTGGTTGGCTCAAAACATCCCCAGGATTTAGGATAACCTAGATTTTGGAACACTACGAAGCATTAACTTTCGAATTTAAAAAAATAAAAAAATAAAAATTTAATGATTAAAGTGACTGGAAACATGATCGGAGGAATCGGTTCCAGACTCGATTCTTTGCCCAGCTCTACTTACAACTAGGTCACATACACCACAAGCGTACACACTAAAGCGAAGACAGTGTCTCAACCTACACGGCATCTTGACCGGCGAGGCGGGGAGGGAAGCTACGGGCTGGGCCGCCATGTCCATGAGGTTCCTGGGCACCTGACAGACGGGAGCAGTCAGCATGAGGTACTCCATCACGATGTCACACAGGGAGTGTCTCACGGCCGCCGTCAGTCGATCCTTGATCACCTTCAGGTCACAGTTACCGCATTCCCACAGCCGGAACTGGATGAGGGCAGTGGGTCCTGTTTGTTTGTTTGTACGAGTAAAGAGAAGCATGCAAAACGCAATAAGACATTTAGACTCTCTGTTCAAGTCAAGAGAAACATATAAACACAATACGACAGTCAATTAGATTCTCTGTTTTAGTAAAGAGAAGCATAAAATTTTTTACACATATGCATTTATATTATATGTATAATACTTTGTTTTACGTACACATTTGTGTCGATTAATTTTTAAGATGTGATGTCTTTTTCATTGAAATGCGCATTGAGCATCTTTTAGGAAATGGAAATGCGCAGTATAAATGCTATTTATTATTATTATTATAAAAAACACAATAACCGACATTTAGATTCTCTGTTTTAGTAAAGAAAAGCATAAAAAACACAATAACCGACATTTAGACTCTCTGTTTTAGAAAGATAAGCGAGTAAACACAATAATAGTCATTTAAATTCTAGGTCTTTTTTGGTTTTTATTTTGTAACGCACAAAAATGATCTTTCAGTGCTGGGGAAATAAGAAAAATACAATGATCCCCATTAAATTCTGGGGTAGGAAATTAAATGCAAGACATACAGACAGAAACACAAGAGGGATAGGAAAGGAGTAAGATCATATGTAACAATTTAACATTGCTGAGACTTATTATGACAATAAACAAAGAGCGGTGTGACACTGAAGACAACAAATGAACAATGGCAGTAATATTTTATGAGCAAACAGAAATTTGAACTGACCAGGTCTTGAGGAGGCCACCCGCTCGTGCACTGTGGTGTGGACCATACGGGGAAACTCGCTGGGGTCTGTGGCAGACATGCTGGTATTGCGGACGGGAGACGGGCAGTTAAGGAGCTTGACCTCGTAACCCTGACCATCCACCAGGCCCACACTGATGCAGGCAATGCCTGGAAAATGTGAGAGCAGACGCGGCATTGGAGGAGGGGGGAATATTATGGGTATGGTTGTCAGTACAAGGAAAGCTTCACATGCACACTAACACAATGTTGGCTATTTGGTTTACGAAAAAAATATCAATAGATATAGAAATCTAAAAGTGAATGAAAGACAATGGACTGGACACATTCACAGAGATGCAAACCAAACATCCTAAGAGCCTCAAGATGGAATCCACATGGCAAGAGAGAGAGAGAGAAGAAGGCCCATAAGTACTTGCAGCAGGGATTTAATTTCAGACCTAAAGGAAATGGGATACAGGTGGATAGAGGTCCAGACTATAGCCAAGGAGAAAAGTAGATTGAGAGTTGTAGCCGTCAATATTCTGGCTCAGGGTGACAAAAGCTGATGATGAAAAGAAAAGTGACTTACAAAAACAGCACAGGGAAAAAAAAGAAGTTAGACAAAAAATGTTCAATAAGAATTTCTACATTTTCGCAATCTTCCTTATACATTAAAAAAAAAAGCTCAACTGTTCCATAATAAATTGCAATTTGTACTTTTGCGGTTTGACTTGTCTAAAGGCAAAAGCTTTGTACTGTGAAAAAAATTAAATACAAATATATTCCTCATCTGAACTGTTCATATTCAGCTAAATTGGACATTAGCATAGAAACTTGACAGAACCACAAACGTTTGTTTGAAAGCCCACATTCAAGAAAACAATAACTGAATGACTAAATGTTACAAATCAGCACTTCACAAATGTTCCAATTTTTATTCCTAAACTACGAAAAAAATTAGACTAATTCAAGATGCACTTTAACACAATATTATAATGAAGCTATTCTTGTTACCTTTTCCTCCACTAGGTTGCGGTCTGTTGTACAGATACACCTTGTCAGAGGGAATTGCCCGCCACACTCCATCAATCACATCCTGTAGAAGAACGAAGTGCAGGGTCATCAATGGGGGACAGGGACTTGATTTTTAAAAACCCCCCAAAACAACCCAACTATATTGTAAAATGCACCTTATTAGTTTTAAATAATTATTCATTCAAAACGATAGCTTTATCCCGAAACCCTTAAAAAAACAGATTTAGACTGCTGTAAATGCTAACCATTAACTGGTTATGACACCATGTTGCTACATATATGACCTTCATGTTGCCTGGCAACAGACACAGTGGCTATGCAGGACACCTGACACCAAGGAACGACTGACACAGCGACAACTGACCCCATGCTAAGACTGGCACCATCAGGCCATTACCTGAAACTTGGAGTTGGGGTTGGAGTCCACGTAGTTGGGAGTGTGCAGGAACTGCAGCAGGTTCTGCCTGAGGTAGTACATGAGGGCAGCCAGGTACATGGAACAGTGGCCTGGGATAGTCAACAGGAGAGTCTCCATTGCTTCCTTGCGGGGCTTTTGAATGAACTGAAGGACGACAGTAAAAACATCATGAAAAACTTCAAAATTCTCATTTAACTCTTTGAAGGCACATCCCCTTTCCCTTTCTCGATACCCTGTGATGCACCTTCTTTGTCCTTTTTATTTTACAGGTTTATTCTGAGAATATGCAAATTTTCCGTGAGACAATCAAGTCTGTAACTGTATGCTTAGCCTTGTCTTGGTGCATAAGCTTTTAGTTGTGCAAAAATTATATACGAATAAACATTGCTTCTGAAATGTTAATAACGTGCTGAATTGGACATTCGCATAAAAACTTGACATCAAAAAGTTATTTTATTGAGAAGAACACCAACATGATAACAGCCATTTAGGGCAGAGAAAAAGCAAGACACGACACACAAAAACAGAATGGAAAAAAAAAGGATGAACCAAAAGGTGCCCTTTTACCACCTGCTGTCAACTTACATAAATATCGTCGGGTTTGAGCTTGCACTGAGGGTTTCTGCTGAGCATGACACAGAGGGCGTCCAGCAAAGCATCGTCCAGTTTGTTCTGGAGCATCTTCATCAGGTCGTCCTTGATCTCTTTGCCTGGGGATGATAATACACCTTTTCCCAATCAAATATTAAAATAGAGAGTTCAAATGCAGCAATGAATTTTAATGAAAGTTCAAATATCAAAATTGTCAAATTAATTCAACATAGAGAGTTCAAATTCAACACAATGAAAAATGTAATCAAATAATAGATCAAATGTAATCATAGAAGAGCTCAATTTGGCGCGCTGAATTTGAACTGACAATGTTGAATTTGAATTCTCTATTGCTACATTTGACAGCGCCGTTTTGATATTTGAGCTTCTTATTGTTACATTTGCTCCCTCTCTTTTGATGTTTGAACTTCCTATGTTGAATTTGATTTGAATATGTGGAATTCATTTTGTTATGTTTCATTTGAACTCAATTTTGATATTTGACCAGGAAAAGGTGTAATAATATTATATGTGTCACAATGCTAGAGAATCAGGAGCACGTCAAGTTTTGGGCACGTAGAGTCATTGGTGTCATCATAAAGCTGGTACATTTGTCTTCCTTTCCATTAAAAATATATCCATCTACCTCGAATGCAAGTCAAAATATTCACAATTGAAGGAGGTGGGGGTCATCTGGTTTCAGAGGTAAAATAAGAGAGAAAATGGCCACCAAAGTCTTGTAACTTCCATAGCTTGAGAATCCTTGAAAACAGGAAATTAACATATTTTGTGCCTTTAATCAATGTTCTTCAGCAAAAATCTACACTGAAATGTGTTTTTAAATGGACATAAAAGATGTAGAGCCAAAGAACAAAAATTTTATAAAAATTACCAAACAGGCGTCAAAATGTCGGGTTTCTTTGATTTCAGTATTGTGACGGGTGCCACATTTCACCAAGATGGCTCACATATGGCATTTATATAGCCCTCAACCCCAATTAAAGTACACAGGCTCTGAAAACTTAACAATACAACAATAACATAAAACAATAAGTTCTAATCAAAATTAAATCTCTCTAAATCTAAATATTTATCTCATAAATTTAAAACAGAAAGGACTTCAGCGGACATTTGAATGAATTAGAGGTTTTGATCTGTCATAAACTGCTGAGCACAGCATTCTAGATCTTGGGGCCTTGAGCACAAGAAGAGGGAGGACTCTCACCTTCTCAATTTTGAAGGATGGATATTTCACACCCAAAAAGCTTTTGATTTGCAGGAGGAGGAGGAGGGAGGGAGGGAGGGCAGGAGTAGGAGGGAGAAGAGGGGATGGCGAGGACAGTGAGGAAAAACAGAGGGAAGGAAAGGAAGAGAAGGAGCACATAAAGTAGAAGAAGCAGAAAAAAAGAAGAAAAAGAGGATGAGGAACAGGAGAAACAGAAAAAGCAGAAGCGGAAAAAGAAGAAAGAGAAGGATGAGAAAGTGGAGGTGGAAGAGGAGGTGGTCAACATGGAGCGCTGAAATCTGGAGAAAGTGGAAAAGACCACATACCAGTCTCTTCGATGCCGTGAATGGTGAGCTCCACAATTTCCTCAATTCTGGACGACTGGCGGCCTAGACTTGACGTCAGGGACACCGTGTCGCTGTCAGTTCTAGATGGCTGGAAAACAGACAAAACACAACATGAGCCTCACGGGACATGGGAAGAACTCTATACTTTTACCACATTTAAGCATCATCATCATTGCCGCTGCCATATCATCATCATCCTCATCATCATTATCATCAGCATCATCACAGACCAAACAATTTTCCTTTTTCTTGTTTTGTTTTCCTTGAAGCAGGGGCCCTTCAATTAAAACCATAGTAGGTTTGCAAGTTGGCAGGAAATAAACCCTTTAGTCCGGTGGAGCCTACATACCAGACATCATTAAAGTTAAGGCGCTCACTACTTCTCTCCCTTCATCATAAAGTCCCTCGGCATGCCAACCTTAGACTAGGGGTTTATTATCAAGGTTGTCTCCTCTAGATCCATCGTGTTCTGGTCCTGGACCGCCAGGTCTAGGTTAACAGGGTCACCTCGAGAAGGATGTGGCTCTTCGCTCACGCACGACAGTCTTGAGGTAAGAGTGGTATGCCAAACCACAGGACTTACAGACAAGGCCCGCCCTTTTCACTGTTCAAGGAGAGCCTTCACAACCAAGAGGAGACAGACTCCCACACACTCAGCACAATAAAAGAAAGTGTGTGCGGGGCAAAGCGAAAAAAAGTTTGCTCCGAGGAGTGGTCAGGCGTGTCTTAAACCAGCTCCTCATGGAGACAATTAGCATGAAGACCCTGAGGTGGACGCTGGAAAGGAGAGATGAGCAGCTATGGACATGTGCTGCCTGCTATGATTCTAGCTCTGGATCCAAGTAAATCCAAGTAAGGGGCCCTTCGTTGTGTCTTTGAGAAAGGCACTTTACACAAATTTTCCACACTCTACCCAGGCGGGAATGGGAAGCTGGCTATAGTCAGCGAAAGATCTTGTCAGTTTGTTGTGTTTGAGCACTTGTAATCCGCAGGTTGCATCATATGCTTCATGAGAAGCCAAGAATGTTTCTGAGTATTCTGGGGCAGCTGGGGTAATAATAGTTGTAAAATGCATAGAGCATGGATATGCACTACATAATTGTAATTACGATATTATTATTATTATTATTATTACTGTTATTATATTGTACTCTCTCAGCCTCTGGTTGGCCCTGAGAGGCAGGGTTGAACCAGCCTGCCTCTCAACTAATGTAAATTGCGTTGAAAGAAAGTGTTACATGTTAAGAAAGACAATCCCCACTTACCTCGGAGCGAAGCTGGGCAAAGTGAGCCGAGTCGGAGAGAGAAGCCTCCAAGTCAAATTCCCCGGCCTCTTGAGTCACCTGCAACTCCCTCAGCCTGTGGGGAGACATTTCATTGGTCACAGATGAAAGGAGAAGACACTTTCCAGGACCACAGTCAGGAATGTTGAGAAACACAATAAACAAAAAAACAAAACCAGGTCTGGTACACTACTGGACTCATTACAGAACACCTATTGCAAGATTTTTTAATCAAAGAGAAATCTTCTAACTGACAAAGATTGTCCCCTAGAGCTACTACATTTGAAAATGGCAGCACTGAAAATAAAATAGAAAGAAGAAAGATCACACAAGAGCATTCATTCATTCACCCCCCCCCCGTAATAAAATACCATCTTTTTATTTTTAATTTCCCATGGAAAAAAGCCGTAGCTCTAAAAAAAAACAGGACCACTGGACGTATGCTGTTGTTGCTGTTATTAATCCAGCAACAGCTGGGCTCTCGCCCTTCTATGCAATGCCATGTAGTGATATGTGCAGGTTTACTACATTTGCTGTATCGTTCTATAGAGCGTATTGTCAATGTTAAGTCTCGGTGGGAGAAGAGTAGACCAGTGGATTAAAAAACCCCGGATATAAGAAAATTTTCACCTTTTCTGTCTTGCTTGTTTTTTGGGGGTTTAAAAAAAAAAATTTCTTTGTTGTTTTTAAAGAGGCTCTCTCTCTCTTGCCCTATTTAACTCCTAGTGGAGCATAGGCCATCAACAACATTTCTCAAGCAAAGCCTGTCCTGTGTATCCTTTTCTATCTTTTAACGAGGCATTGAAGAACAACTACCTCAAATAGAAAACATTTCTGGAGGACAGCTCTTCGATGACAAACATGTTTTTCCTGTTGCTGACCACAAACTTGTTGAGCACGCTGCGAAGCACCAGCACACCCATGGGCGCGCCGCCGCGCTGCACGCACGACTTGAGGCGCGGGTGGAGGGTGAAGTGGTGGCGCCAGACCACGTCGCAGGCAAACGAACCCGGGCTGTAGATCATGCTGGCTGCCAGGTAGCCTTGACCTTCCTCACTGTCATCCTCCTCTTCTACCTCATAGCCTGAAATAAAACAATGTAATACATTTCGATTAGTTTTAGTAGGGGTTTTACGGCGCTCGCAACTGCATAAGGTCATATGACCGCCAAGGGGTGTCAACAGAGAAGTCCTTACAGGGAATCAGGCTTACTCTGTTCACCTCTCTAGCTTCGACAGCTCAGTACTTGCAACGCAGTCAAGTAATAAAAGTGCCGAAGATTATACGTGTTACAAGAGAGTAACAAACACAAAAAAGGAAGAGAGATCAGGATGATAGATGTTATATAGGAAAGAAGGAGAAAACCACACCAGAGCATCCAATACATTTAGAGAAATTTAAAACTGGTTTCACCTTTTTCTGTTGAAGAGAAGCAAATCAACACAGGATAATGGTTATTCATTGCCGGGCGGGGGGGGGGGGGGGGGGGGGGGGGGGATACAGACAGGCAGAAAGAAGGACAAAGAAACAGACAGAAAGGATAAAGAAACAACAAAGAAATCAGACGAACAACATTACAAAATTTATGTTCTGGGTTCAAGCACCATGTTCCGTGAATGACCTGATCTGTGTTTATTGAGGAGTATACAAAATTACGGCAGGGGTAGGCCACGGGAAACATAGAGGAGATGCGTGGAAAGGGACATGAGAGAGGTGAAGCTCACTTGGAACGAGCTTGGAAGGATGGCCCAGGACAGAGATAAATGGAAGGAGCTTGTATGTCGCCCATACCCTGCCAGGGGTGAAAGGCATTGATGATGGTGATGATATAAAATTACACTCGCTTAAAGGCAAATGAGTGACGGTGAATTACGTGTAAAAAAAGCCTTTAACAATGACCTTGCACATTAATTAACAAGTGACTTAGTACATTAAATTACATGAAACATTTAGCAGGCAAAAGCATCTGCAGCAACACTAACCGTCAGGCACAGATCGGCCAGAGAGCGTGCGCCGACTGGTCCAGGTAAAGTCCTCATCAGCCTCGGGCACCAGCAAGGCATTGCAGACTTTGGTCTTGTTCAGCTCCTTCAGGAGTAAAGCCTAAGGAAGGATACATAATTGATTGTAAATGATTGTGAAATGTTACGCTTTCCCATTCATACCATACAGGAGGTGGGCTTCTTTGGCCAATTTGATACCAATGTCAGATGGAAGGTAAACCCTTCGACAGACAGAAAAACATCTAGACCGGGAGAGACTCACAGTCCTCTGTTCAGCCAAACTTTAGAAGCACTGTGGAGAAATGTGGCTCATTAAGCCAGACAGGCCCTACAGGAACTGCACGGAACTTTCTTAACTTGCAGAAAAGCATACACAAAATGCTCAGGCAATTCTGGTGAAAGTTGTATAAGTTCTACTCTTTCTTATTGACTAGCAAAAGAGCCAGCCTCGAGAGCCTATACCACCAAGTACTAAGGCTATAAAAAGAGGTAGACAACGCAAAACACGGATTGAGGGTGTCGAGGAAACCCTGAGAAATTATAATAACCCAGTTGAAAGACCTGCAGAGCTGGCCTACCCTAGAAAACTGCAGCTCCCCTCGATGCTTAAAAGCAACAAAGGATGAAAAAGTAAAGTAAATAAGCAAAAGATATAACAACTAAGAAAAGCAATAGATGAAACAGTTTTTCTGTGAGATGTTCTATTATTTCTCCACAAGAGTTGTGCAACAGCAAAAAACACTTTCAAACCTAATACAGCTAATCTAAAAGTCACATCAGGTAATATTAGTCTTCTGTAGTACAATTTTCAAACCATTACTAAAAGATCCCAAGCAGTGACAAAAATACAGATTTCAGACCCGTAATAGGAAGAGACAGAAGTACCTCTGGGCACATAACTCTCACCTGATTGACTTTGCGGCAGACCATGTGGATGTTATCGGTGACCTTTGAGTAGAGAGCTTGGTGCTCCATGCTGATCAGGGACTCTCCGTCCAAAGGTTCTCTGTTTAAAGGGGAAAAATAAACATTACTACTGGGTTGTAGGTCATAAGTTAAAGCTAAGAAACATGTTTTATTTGCTTTAGTAAGAGTTTTACGGCACTTGCAACACAGTAAGGTCATATGTAAGTGCCGAAGATTAGAGGTAACAAGCGAATAACAAACACAAAAAAGAAGGAGGAAAGATACGGACAATAGATGCTTAACAGAAAAGAAGGAGCAAGCCACACAGGAGCACACGTCATCTACCCACTTAGAAGCATAATAAAGATTTGAATCCAGGTTTATAGTAAATAGAAGTACATTGACTCAATAACGATTATTTAGTGTAGTGAAAAGAGTGATAGACAGACTGAATCAACAGAGGGAAAGAAAAGATTATTGTCACCAGAATCACGTACTATCGTAACCGCCATATCACTCGAAATCGAGTCTAAAATATAACTAGATTACAATTTTTACATTCTAAATTCTGTCAAAATCTGGATTCGATACCTTTAATAGTCACCGAGATATACGCGGTTCGTGAGGTATCGTATACACCCTCTTGAGTATAATTCAGAATCACGTACTAACGCAAGGGACGATACGCCAGTGCGTGGACCATCTCTTCCTTTGCTTGTAGACTTGTATGTTCACGTTGTTAAGTCACGTACTAACGTAGGTAACAAGAATCAACCCTATAGAGTTCTATTTTAATTTACCTCACTATTAATCTACGTGATTGCTGCGTTGAATTAAAAATTTTCATGACCATTGCATATAAACTTTCTCTCTCTCTCCCCCGCCTCTCTCTCTCTCTCTCTTTCTCTCAAACTTGCACATAAATCATAAACTTGCATCCAGTCTGTGTTGTTGTTTTGCCGATTCACCCTCTTTTCAATGTACTGATTCATCCATGTGTGAAACTCAAGCACCAGGAAATACTGGTAAAAAGTCTCACCATGCTTTTTACTTTCAAAGTAAAATAACGTAACTGTATACGTAAACTTTCTCTCTCTCTCTCTCTCCATTTCTCTCTGTCTCTGCCTCCCCTGTCTCTCTCTCCTATCCCCTCTACCCCACCTCTCTCTCTCTCTCTCTCTCTGCCCAATCCCCCTCCCCCCCCCAGGGCTATGCCACTGACTGAAGTTGTCTTTAAGCCATTTCCAAAGGGGGGATATTTACATGTTCGTATGCACAGTAGGATTGTAAATGTGCGGATTTATCAATGTCATGCTTGTACTATGCTAAAACAACATGGGGGAACTGCTGCTTTTTCTTTCCTCATCCTCACTATTGTCATTTTTCCTCTACTTCTTTTGTATGTTTGTCACTTTCTTGTGAACTGATATTTCCGGGATGCCTTAATAGTCGAAGCAGACTTTGTGCTGTTGAGGCTAGAGAGGAAAGCAGAGAGAGCCTGATTCTCCGTTTGGACTTCTCTGTTAACATCCACCCCTTGGCGCTCATATGACCTTATGAAGTTGCGAACGTGTAAAAACCCAACTAAAACTTTTTAAAATCTCTCCCTCTCTTTTCTCTCTTCTTCCCCTTCCCTCTGTAAATACTGCTAAAATGCCTCACCATGCTTTTTTCTTTCAAAATAAAATAACGTAACTGCATACGTTAATTCTATCTCTCTCTCTCTTTCTCTCTCTTTCCCTTTCCCTCTGCCTCCGCCCCCCCCCCCCATCTCTCTCTCCCTCTCTCGCAAACTTGGAAAGTGACACGCATACATCATAACTTGCTCCCGGTCTGATATTAAAAGTTGCAAGGCTGTTGATATAACTGATTCATCCATTTGTGAAACTCAAGCACCTGTAAATACTGGTAAAATGCCTCACCATGCTTTTTTCTTTCAAAATAATATAACATAACTGTAAGTTTATAGTTTGTTTTGTTTTTTAAGAACTATCATAAGCGCCATATTGTGTAATGTAAGGGACTGTGCAGTAACATACTTTGCATTCACGTACAAACGCAAGTGACAAAAAAGGTAATTTTTTCACTAAGTAAGCAATTAGATTGTTTTTCTGAAGCAGTGACAGAAAAGACGGCATAAAGTCTATACACAAACCAAAAGTCAATAAGAAATTATGATCCGTTCATTCACAACAGGATTTGAAAAATTGTTAAAAACTTTAAACCGCCGTAGCTCGAAACTCCAATTTTGTCCGTTACGATAGTACGTGATTCAGCCCACGATATGGCACCCAGTATTTTCAACCATCAGGTACCATAACCGCTACATTCCGTAAGAAAAAAAAAAGAAGTTAAGTTCTTTGTTGAGCCAAACCTATTTAAGAGTGAGCTCACCGGGAATGAAAGAGGACCTCAGTCTTGTCCGGGTGGATCTGCATCAGTAGCCAGAAGTCGGGCAGCTCAGAATGAGTGGAGCTGATATCCGACATGGACGCTGTCTCATCTTGCTCCATGTCGCTGATGTCTCCGTCAAAACCTGAATGACAACCATCAAACACAACTGGTGGAGATTCAAGGAGCAATGAAATCACGGGATTACATCCCTCACAAAAAGTTTGATGCTGAACCCCTTCAAACGAGAGTAATTGTCAAAGTGCTGATGAGTCAGCAAACTCGAATGACTTAACTCTTTATCTCCATGGGGGGGGGGGGGGGCAAACCCACTATGCCGGAGCCCTATTTTGGTTTTGGAACTAAATCTAAAAATGACAAAAACGTCACTAAATGGGTCATTAAATAAAAAAAACTATTTTGATAGTTCTTCATCTAATGAATGAACTCCTGACGAAAGACATTTATTTCGATAATTGCCGAAAAGTAATTTGATGTCGTAGTTGTCGTAAAGGAATGTGCCCTGCTAGCAGCTCACTGGCAGAGCGGTTCCAACCGCGAGCTGCTGGGAGCAGCTCTCTGGAGAAAATGAGTTAATATCAATCATCCAAAAGGGTGCAGCATTACAAACTTTGGCTAGAATTATGTGAAATTCTAAAAATTAAGACTTTCAAATATTTTACTCTGTACATACGCTAAACTTTCCCCAAATCAAAGTGCAATATCTTTCCCATTATAAAAAAAAAGTCTGGTACACTTCGCAATCACACCGCTACATACACCATCCTACATCAATACAAATTTTAATAATCACTAGCAAAGAATCTCACCCCGACACACACCACTAACACACAATCTCATCATCACAAACACACAATTCTACTCCAACAAACACCTAACCCAACCTTCACAATCTGACAAACACACACACACAATCCCACTGTCACAAACAGGCAAACACCCACATCAATTCCACAATCACAAAGACACTTAACACTTTTAGTACCATTGGAACTTTTGTTGCCAGGCACGTTGTAAGCCCACATAAAGGATGGCGACTTTGAACGCCAACTCAACCAGGCACACTAAAGATATTTAAACAATGAACAGAGCCAATGAATTGAAGGAAATACCAAAGGAAGTCACTCTATGTGATAGCTGAATGGTTGATGAAACACAGTGAAACTTTTTAGCTTGCTTCTTGGGCTGTGAAGGTTTTAAAAATTATTCTTTTGATTCTACCATGGCTTCAGCGTTCTACACTGGTGCAGGACTTGAGGGTTTTTCCCTATATGAGCCTCTGGTACTGCAAGTGTTAAACATGACCAACAGTACAGCACAGCACAAAAAACCTCACCCTCGCTGGTGGTGGACTCTCTGGACGAGATGACCGACGGCGACTGCGGAAAAATGCCAGCCCGTGAGGCTGATGTGTGGCCAGAAGGGGCGGAGCAGTGACGACTTCGCACGGAGCAAGCCACCGTACCCGGTGACCTCACCTGACTGCCCTGCAGCCCTGCGAAGCTGCTCGACTTTTTCAAGCTGAGAAGGGAAGAAACGGCCAAGAGACTCCAGCTATTGTAATAATTCTCAAAACAATTAAGAAAACAATCACACTGCAGTAACAATTCCAAGAAAAATCATGAAGAAAAGATAAATGAAATGGTAACTATAATTTAGAAAAAAAAATGAAATGGTAACTATAATTTAGAAAAAAAAAATGAAATGGTAACTATAATTTAGAAAAAAAAATGAAATGGTAACTATAATTTAGAAAAAAAAATGAAATGGTAACTATAATTTAGAAAAAAACCCGACGAAAAGACATGAGTAGAATCATGCTATGACAATAATTATTTAAAGTTCAAATGGTGTAGGTGTGGGAAGGTGTACATATGGATGTGTATCCATGTCTTGTGTGGCAGTGCACGTGTATGATGGTCTTATATACCATTAAAATTTTCAAAAATTAAGAATGTTGGAATGTGTATATTATGTTTTTATTTTCCTGGGAGTGTGTGTGCGTGGGTGCATGCATGTGTGAGCCCGCGTACGTGTGAGTGTGTGTGTGTGTGTGTGTGTGTGTGTGTGTGTGTGTGTGTGTGTGTGTGTAGAATCATCAAACTGCCAATCTGTGAGACAAGCCTTCTGACAAGATCCAAGACAAGCACGGAAGTGTATTCTCTAAATGCCTATAGGAGGACAAAGACACTCACTTTTTGTCAGCATCATTCTGCTCCTTGATCCTGAGCACCTCTACAGGACTCGTTAGCACCATCTGCACCTTGCCTTCTGTCGGTGACACCGGGACCTCAGGAACCAGAGGCTTCAGAGGTTTCTCGTCTTCTTGCCCTCGCTGCCAACCAAAGCAAAAATGAAAAAATACCTTTTAATCCACTGTGGTTTTGAGAAAAAAGGCATTTTGTCACTAAAGAAAAGGCACTATTCCGAAATTTGAATTCGAATTTATTCAAGAAGTTGTCAGTTTCGTTTGTGATTTTTTCACACAAGTAGGGTAACTGATCAGGCTATCGATTTAGCAAATGACTAAAAGAAAAAATTTGGTGCCAAAAATGAAAAAAGGCTTTTTTGAAGTTTGGGACACAATAGCAATCTTTGTCTGACTCACCCGCAGCTGTTACTTTTCCAGAAATAAGAAAGGTTCTTTATTTTAAAATGTTTTTTAAAAAAGGCAGTAGAGAGAATTTATTGTAGAATGCTTTTATTTGCACCCTGTGGGCAATTGGAAGATTTGATCCCCTAGAAGCACACCGTTTGCGCTGAGTTGCTCATCGTGATAGGAGGCAGTGACAAGAAAGTTGCGATCCAGCACAGATAAAACAGAGATGAAGGAATGAGTGTCTGTAATGTGACAACAAAGTTGCGATCCAGCACAGATAAAACAGAAATGAAGGAATGAGTGTCTGTAATGTGACAACATATCAGTTAGCCCCATAGTCTTTTTGGACACCTTCAAATCAGCAAAGTGCTTTTAGAAGGTTGACAAATAAAAATTTGGATTGACTTGAAACTGAATGAAAATCCCTACCAGCAATAAACATTTTGTTTATTATCCAGCCGACAAAATATTGACCGGCTCTGCTGGTTTTTCCCGGTTAAGAAAGCCTGAATATAGGTGTTTTATGTCCCCGACACAATTTAGATCATAAGGAGGCAGGCAAGAAGTGTTTATAGCACGTTGAGATCAAAACTTGTGAACAAGAAAAAAACCTGAAAGATTTGTGTCTGTAATTTGTGCTTATGAGAAAGCCAGTTATTAAAGGCAATTTTACATGAATACAAGAAGTTAGACATATGTAGAAACTCATCTATTGACATATTTTTAAAGTATTCAAAATCCTTAATACCTAGGCGTTGACAGTATAAAAAAAACCTATAGACCAAGTCTCAGAAGCCACTTTTGAGATACATAACAATTGTTTTTCTTTAGCGGAACTAAAGATGAGATGGGGCGGGTACATGTTAGGGCTGGATCCTGCTTGTCAAATTTGAGATTGGCGATTCGCGATTCAGTCGGCTTCAATGAATCGCGAGTACGCGAGCACTCGTGGAGCTGTGGCGGAACACTGACTGAAACGAAACAGTGTCATATCAACGCCTCTTGGCGAGCGCGAGTCCCACTCTTGTTGTTCCGCCATCCTCTCCGCCCCACACCCTTTGTTGCATTGCTCTATCAACTTACCTCAATTAGTGACCCCCATAAATTCCCCCCCCAACCCCATGATTCGCTAAAACAATGGCTCCATAAAATTCCTTCTGTCTATTGGCTGGACCCGTTCATTTTGTTTTAATAGGGGGGTTGGACTATACCATCTTTTGTAAAATAAGGGAGCCATACTAAGTGTTCCGTTCCGTTCTTGCGCCCGTGACTCGACTCAGCAGTAGGTTAAACAAACCACGGTGGTGACAGCGACAGGGGAGTGAATCGGGAATCGTTTGGCGATACTGTTCCGCATTCCGCTGAAATGAATCGTGAATCGCGTTCCGCAGGCAAGAGTGGCGATTCAGTTCCGTTCTCGCGCTCGTGACCCAGCCCTAGTACATGTGTCTCAGGTAGAACACCACTTTTTCTAGCAAAAATACTCAACCTGACAAAAATAATATAAAATAAAAGAATAAAATGCATGATCATTCAGCCTGTACCTTGTCCATAACTGAGCGTGGCCGAGCTCGAGACTTGACATCTGAGCTGCTGCGAGGTCGCATGTTGGCCACCTGCGACTCCGAGCTCCTCATGTCCACCTGACCCCCGACAACAAACGACGGGGGATCACCACCCGAATCCATCTCACCACCCTCCTGGGGGGAAACACAAAACAAATGAGAAACTGACCTTATACCCAAATATGGGCATAAGCATGATACATAACATCTAGATACAACCCTTTCAAAAAGCATAAACAAACAGTCAAAGAACAAACTTTCACGGTATCTCCAAACCCCTGTAGACGAAATTAATGAAAAGTGTCAATTTATGTTCTTGTTCCACTACTCATCACTTTTCTACTTTTCTAACAACTCCAGATTTCCATTTTCACCTTTCATCAGTGCATTCATTAATAATAATAATAGATAGTATTTGTATAGCGCATAACCCCGCTCGAAAGCAAGCTCTATGCGCTTTACAATATATTATTACCCCAGCAGACCATAGAACACTCAGAAACATTCTCAGCTTCCCGGGAAGCATACAGTGCAAGCAGCTGATTAAGCGCTCAAACACTAACAAACTGACAAGATCTTTCACTGTCTATAGCTGGGTACCCATTCCCACCTGGGTGAAGTGAGGAAAACTCGTGTAAAGTGCCTTTCCCAAGGACACAACGTCAGGTCCCTGACAGGATTCGAACCCACGACCTTACGGTTGCGAGTCCAAGAGCCTAACCACTAGGCCACCGACGACACCATTACACATTTTCCATATCCATCTTTCAGGGACACACAATGTGACAGTCTGTTACATGCTCATCTGCTGTCCTTTCAGTACTGCCCTCCCCACTGACTGCCACATACCAACCAGCTGCCCAATGAACTAAGGGAAATATGGTAAAGTGGTCTATTCATCAGATCTAGGTATACAAACCTTTGGTTCATGACAGAGTACCAAACACCTTCACCACTAGAATCAGAGAAGAGTGAAACTGAAATGTCTAACTCTAACACTTGCTAGTATATTTGCACAGAGAACTGGCTTACTCTTGTATATTTCAAATTTCAACATAATTTCAGAGAGCATACTTTCATTCATTAATAAAACAGTAGGATCTTCACAACTGTGGCACACAGCACAAAATAAATACATCATCACCACATTTACTGAAAACATAAAAACAATTAAAAAAACAACAAAACATATTACAATCACATTTATGAAACATAAAAACAATACAAAATAAATATATCACCATCACATTTACTGAAACCAAAAAAACAAAACAAAACCGAACAAAACCATCCATCTCAGTGATCACCTCTGGGGGATTGGAGAATATGTTGGGCAGGCTGAAGCTCCTTTCCTCCTTCGAGATGATTGCGCTTTCATCCGCCTCCTCCCCTCCTTCCCTCTCCCTCGCGACTAGATCGAGGCTGTTAAAAGCCGACTTGATCTGCTGCGCGTACCGCAGCTGGTGTGCCAGGGCTTTGTTCACGATCAGGAAGTAGTAGTCGCCCTCCTTGGTCACACGATAGCCCGGCAGGTTTTGCCTTTCAAATTCCTGAAGAAAAGGCAGAGGAAAAGAAAATAGAAAACGGATGATTTTGCCGCTTCCTTCGCGTAGTGCACAGTGTCGTACCATTTAAAATGAAAGATGTCTCTTTGTAACACCCCATCTAAATTCTCAGAATGGACAGAAAAAAACAACAACAACCCCATTTTTGTAGACAGTATGGAGAGATACAAGACTTCAAGCTCTTGGTAAAAGATTTACATGCTTTAGAACGGACATATTTGCACATCTTCACCTTTCCAGAAATCGGGGTGATTTTTATTCCTGATTGCGTACTGCAATACACAAAACATAATTCAAGTTTAATAACACAAGATTTCTGCAAAACAACATATGAGCAATAATGAATCATACATCCAGCTGGCCAATTAAATTGAGAGCATTTTTTTCAAGCAACCCATACGTTAATTTATAAAAATAACACAATACAGTAGGAAAAAAAAAGAATTCTAATGACAGCAGTCAAACATTTTTTAATTTCAAGCCTCTCAAAACATATAAAGCTATAAAACAAGATTGTCTTTTCTATCGACATCGCACCATTTACATTAATGGTGTAAAGACCCCTTACAATAATTTATTGAAGCTTATAAATAAGAAATTTTGATTCATATCAAGTCATAAACAAAATAAATAATTGTCCTATCTTTGTTTGTTTTTTAATGGACTATTTCATAAATCCCTAATGTTTTACACAAAAGAAGGAGAGACCTCTATAAATAATGCATCAAGGCCTATAAATAAGAAACTGATTCATGGTCCATTACATGATTAGCAAACTAAAAGGGCTAGGAAAAACCCAGTCTCGGATTACCTCAATGAACATGTTGAGACTCTGCTCCGCCCCATACACAAACTGGAGGTTGATGCATTGGTACTGCACCGTGTTGCACTGGGTGTGCACTATGGCACTGCGGATGTGATCAGCCACAAACGTCAGTGTGTCGGACGAGATGGGGTGCATGTGTCTCAGGGAGGACACCACCTCTTCCAGCATAAGAGACTCAATCTGAAAATAAAAAAAAAAAGAATAAAATGCTACAATATCTGCACCAATGGCATAGAGAAACTTAACTGATAAAATTAGAACAAACGATACAAAAAAGAAATAGTAATAACATTTGGAAAGCAATGATAATAAAGAAAAAAAACTAAGTGAATTCATTTGAAAAAAAACAAAAAACCCCTCAACCTCAACAGAAGGGGGTAAATCCTTTGCCTCATTTTAATACAAGCAATAAAACAGAAAGACTAGGGAAAAAACCCATCTCATTCACAAGCCCATAATGTTTTCGTTCCACTATATCGGTGAGGTTTTTTTTTTCATTAATGAAAAATAATAGACCTCTCGTAGAAAATAGTTAACGATATATTCGAAATACAGAATCACTGGCAAAGGTCTACTTAAGCCGCCACCCCCCAAAATATTCATAAAATAAGTTAACAATGTCTTTCCCGCATGATGTCATGGTGACCCAGAGTGGTCCCACAAAGAGTGGAGAGCACAAAAGAGCATTGTAGGTCTAGTAAGTTCAAAACAGAGAGCTCTGGTAAATTTTTACCAATCATTAATAGCTTCAAGACTTATTCTTGTAAAAAAAAAAAATCATGTTTTAACTGGTTTAATTAAATCCAAAGACAAGAAAAGTGATACCTCATCTTTAAAACTGTACACAGCTGAATGCTGTAGCTTGGACAAGTGACTGATTGGGTCACCTAGTGGTTTGGACGACCTAAGGGAAATATAGGATGTGCATGCATCATTACAATAAGACATTCATTCCTTTCATTTGCTTAACACATGTCAACAGATAAATTATTTCAGGTTCTTGCGTTGTGAAAGAGAGTCAAACAGCTATTTGCTACAGTTAAGACAATTATATCCTAGGTACTCACCCATGATAATGTTTTTTAAATGAGGTCCAAAGGTATACCCCATTAAGGGGAAGTACCCAGATGATAAAAAGGAAGGCTTCAACAAGGTCAGTGATACAAGCACGGAAAATAGGCATTCAATCTTTGACTTTTATTGCAGTGTCTAAAAACAATGTGAATGGCTTTACTTTCCATGAAACAATCAACAGTTCTTAAAGGTAAAACACTTTATTTAATGTGCGACTAGTACTTAATTTTATGCATGTAGAGTCCCTTTCAGCTTGTCAGAAATTCACCCTGCATTATACACGTCACCTACAAAAACGGGCCGATTTTGAAGTCAAACTATATACCCCATATTATAAGTCAGGTCGCATTATAAGAAAGTTATATCCCATAATTAAAAAAAAAAGCAGAGCAAAGTCAATTTGCTCCATTGTAAATTTTGATATAAATTTTTAAAGAGCTCAAGATATCAACTGTGGCGAATTGAACAAATTGTGAAGAAACAAATGCGTAATTGGAGATAAATGTACAACATTCCTACAAGATCAAAGCATTGTCAGTGGGAAAAACCACTTACAGAACATCGGCAGAAGGGCCCTCCTCCCCATCTGGGCCTTCCTTCCCCCCTTCCCCGGTCTGACTGCCACTGGAGATGAGCCTCAAGTAGGACGGTTTTCTCGGGAATGCCGGCTCCACATCGTCCAGCAAAGTCAGGCAGTTTATGTCAAATGTGACCTTAAAGTCAGGGAAGTCTAAGCTTTTCAAGGGCTCCACCAGTCCGCATGTTACTTCGCCTTCATGGAAGAGAAACATTTGATAGAGCCATTGTGTGAGTTAAAGAGGAGCTCATTGTTGAAAAACATGTGGGTTTTTTTCTCATTTAATGTGCTTTAGTACAGGGAAAAAGCATGAGAGAGAGAGAGAGAGAGAGAGAGAGAGAGAGAGAGAGAGAGAGAGAGAGAGAGAGAGAGAGAGGGGGG